GGGAAGGAATGCAGTGTAGCTGGCCTGCCACCTGCTGGCCAGCTGGGCACTCGACAGCAGCTGCGGCCAGCCCAGCCCAGCCCAGCCCAGTGAGGGGACCTAAGGAGCTTAGGTCCACCACAGCCAGGAAGACAGGCGGATGACCAGCAGACAGGCCATCCTGCCCACCTGACCCGGGGCCGCCTCGGGCCCTTCAGAGAGCGTCGCAAAAGACTGACATTCTCACACCGCCTGGTTGCCACTCCTCCAACCTATTTCCTCCCCTCCCCTGGCCCTTGAACAAGTGGTTGGCAACTGCCCAGGACATTGTAATCTGTATCCCAGGCCACCTCTCCTGCCAGGCCACGTGGGCCAGCAGACATGTTCAACATTCTGCCCGCCAGGGCGACATCCCTTCTCCACGTCCCTCCCCGGGTGGGCTGTCTGCGAACTTAGAGTTGGTGCCAGCATTTCCTGCAGCTCTGTCTGCAAATGACATACGAACACATCTCCTCAAATGGTTGTAGGGACTCCCCAGGGGGCCTGGGGTGTGGGTTGAGGGAAAGATAGCAATGCAGCTGTTTACGGGGGGGGGGGGGGGGGGGGGGGGGGGGCAAAATACACCTGAGCCTTCTAGATGCCTCAACCCTAAGCCCATATAGAGCACCTGTGCATGACGATAGCACCTTAGCACCGAGGGAGAGTTGATACGCGCTCCTGGTGGGCATCCCGGTCTCAGGGCCACGCGGGGTCCCACAGTCAGGCATCCCCTCTCCATGACAGCCCAGTAAGAAGCCACTCGTTCCATGTCCAGAGAACTGGCTTTGCTCAAAACCCCAGGAGACCATGGACTGTTGCACGGGGCCAGCCTAGGGCCCACAGGACCTGGCGCGCCATGGAGTGCTTGGTCCTCAGGCCCAGGGCAGAGCAGCCTCACTTCCCTGGCTCTCAGGAAGCGGCCTGGAGCAGCCACTAACTGTGGTGCGTAAGGAAGCACTGCACTTACTCACATGTGAGAGAAACCCGAACAACAGTGACTTAACTTAGAGGCAAGCAGCTGCTGTTTGAGAATCTGGGCTGGGCAGTGGCCGGCAGCGCTTTAGCAGCTTCAGGATGTCAGAGTCAAGGGCTTTGGGTTTTCCTGCCCTTTCCCTCAGTGGCAAGGTCATGGCTTTGGCTCCAGCCACCATGGCTTTGCTCCAGGCGAGAGGAAGGGGAAAGCAGGGGAAAGAGGAAGTGGTGGCGCCCACCTCAGCACAGCAACACCCGCAGACACCTCTGGAGGACTCGTTCTACGTGGCACTGGCAGAACCGAGGCGCCCTGGCTGCAAGGAAGGCGGGGAGTGGCAGTTTTTAAGCTGGGCACGTGTCCACCTCTGACAAAATCTGAGTTGTGTCGTTGAAAAGGCAGAGGAGGATGGATATGCTGTGGCATTCTCTGCCAGACGTGCCTCCTAGGGTCACGGTGACAGAAA